CACGCCCCCCCCGTCGCCCAGCAGCCCCCCGTGGGGCACTGCTGCAGCACCCACGGAGAGGTGCAGCTGCCCCGGCCTGGACGCTTTGCACCCTGGGACTCGGAGCAGGGCCTTCCCTCCCCTGCCACATCTCGATGCGGACCCCAGAGGGGGCCTGAGCCCCCCACAGGGCCACTGACACCAGTGGGTGTGATGTGGACAAAGGGCCAGTGCCCGCACCCCTCTGATACGACCAGCATGAGCCATGCTCAATACCGCCTTGCTTTTCAGCTGAGCATCTGGCTCTCACCTCCCTGTTTGTTCTAGGTTTCCCTTAGCCCTGAGCTTTACTGAAGCCATGCTTAGGCTGCGCTTACTAACATGGGACGTGAAGGACACGCTGCTGCGGCTGCGGCGGCCGCTAAGAGTTATGCGGCTGAGGCCCGGGCTCACGGGCTCCAGGTGCAGCCGGAGGCTCTTGGTCAGTCTTTCCGGGAGGCATATGGAGCCCAGAGCCGGCGCTTCCCCAACTACGGCCGGGGCCAGGGGCTGAGCTCCCAGCAGTGGTGGGTCGATGTCGTGAAGCAGACCTTCAGGCTCTCAGGCGTGCATGAAGACAGAGTCCTAACACTGATGGCAGAAAAACTCTACCATGATTTCTGCAGTGCCCGCAACTGGGAGGTGCTGCCAGGAGCCAGTGAGACCCTGAGCTGGTGCTGCCAGCATGGCTTCCGCATGGGGGTGGTCTCCAACTTTGATAACCGGCTGGAAAACATCCTCTCCCAGTGCAACCTGCGGCACCACTTTGAATTCATCCTCACTTCTGAGGACACAGGCTTCACCAAGCCGGACGGGAGAATCTTCGAGAAAGCGCTGCGCCTCAGCGGGGTCCCCCCAGAGCAGACGGCTCACGTGGGAGACGACTACACCCGGGATTACAGGGCAGCACGAGCTGTGGGCATGCACAGCTTTCTGCTCCGGGCTGCTGGGCAGGGCGAGGAGCCAGAGGTGCCCCCTGAGCACATCCTGCCCACGCTTGGCCACCTCCTGGCTCTTATTGAGAAGGGGTAGCTGCATTTCAGAGGAGGACCAGTGCTGCTGCTGAGCAGCAAACCAGTCCTGGCATGGCATTTCTTGCTGCTGGTTGGGCAGGGAAAAGAAGCGAGCGCTTCTAAGTGCAGGGAGGAGTGCTGCCTGCGGAGCAGGAGGGGTGTTAATGCAATAAAATGTATCTGATGCCCGGCATTGCTGCTGCTGTCTTTCATAGCTTTTTAAACGCTACAGAAGAGGGTCAGCAGTGGCATCTTCCCCTAATGGAGCTGGCGACTGGGTCAAGCTGCACTCCAGAAGGCTCATTCTGGCAGGAGGGATGGAGGTTTATTGAGGTTTATCCCTTCTCAGTCACACTAGGCAGAGGTTTGAGCATCCCCCTCTGCAAGTGCATCAGGAGAGCTGGGGTTGGTCCCATCCCGGGGAAGGTCTGCTCACACAAAGCACCCAGGAGACTTGCGCACAGGCCCTGCACGCCTCAGTGTACCCCAGGTTTGCCACCTCACCAGCATCCCCTTCTTGACAGCGGTGTCCAGGAGGCAGTTGCAGGCTCCCTGCTGTAGGCAAAACAAGTCTGGAGTTGGGCAATTTCACTTAATGTATTGCCAACTAACAAACTTTACTGATTTGGGTATAGAGAAATAAGGATGACAAATTTTGAACAGTTGGGGGAACACCTTTCCTGCCTTTCTCCCTTGCTCAACTTCAGTCCAACACCTCTCCTTCCTCCCTGCCTAACATCAGCTCCCCGTGCTTTCCCCATGTCACACTCAAGCCCCCCCCACTCCCTTTGGCGAGGCAAGGAGCAGCTCAGGAAGGTTTCTGCTGCTGCTTCTTACTCCTCTGCTCTGACATGGGCTCCTCCATGGGTGACAGCCCCTCAGGGGTGCCCCTGCCCCAATGCGGGTCCCCCACGGGTGACAGCCCCTCACACTGTCCCTGCTCTGGCATAGGGCAGCTCCTCCCAAAAGCGTGTCTCCAGCTGTGTCCCAATGATGTCCCTTTCCATGTGCTTCCTCCCTGCCATTTCTCCAAACACATCTCTCTATATTTCTGCTGTTTTCTAAAGCCATCAGGCTGGAAAGCTGCCCTTGGTTGGAGAGGAATTAAATGATTCACCTAAAAGCAGCTGGCAGAGCCAAGCATTACCCTGACCCCTCGCCCCAGCATGGCAGACACAGGGTGGGTGTAGGCTCCACGAGGAGAGGAAAGCTGCTGTAAAACATGTGAAGAACAGATGTAGTCTGAAGGCAGGTCTTGCCTGAACACCACTGTACACAAGCCAGTAGCCCTGTCTGGGCTCCTTTCCCCCATAAAGGCACCGTATAGTGTATATACAATTGTATATTCACCCCCCCAGCGAGTGCAATGCTTTGCTCACTGGACAAGCGAGATGCTCTGGTGCGCTACAGCAAAGACGGGATAGAGGGGCTCCATGAAGGTCTCCCTGTGGGAGAAAAGGATGGTACAGGAATCGGGGTCGTAAAAGAGCACCTCCCCTCCCACAAAGTCAACCAGCACCCCGATCTCAGCCGGAGACTTGATCAGCTCCACTGCCTGCAGGTGACCGGCATGCAGGAACCTGAACTCCTTGTCGTAGCGTGAGAAGACCCAGGAGGCAACATTGAAGCCCAGGCGGACTTCATTGCCAGACCCCTTCCGTGGCAGGGAGCTGTAGCAAACCCCAAGCTTGTAGGCACAGCTCTTCTCCACACTGATCTTCCACGCGCAGACTCCTGAGTGGAAAGCTGCAGTGGCCAAAGCATTGGGCCAGTGGTCAAATCGCTCGGGGCAGTCCAAGTCCACCTTTGCTTTCTTGGGGCTGAAGGTCAGGGTTTTCCTGTCTTCTGACAGGCTGAGGTGGGGGCTGACAGTTTTCTCATCAATGTGAATCTCTTGTGAGCCTGCAAAAGAAGCCACACGGTGAGCGCCAGCTCAGTGGCCCCTGCCTGAACCACCCAAAGAAGTCATGGCCATCAGAGACACAGTCTGCTCCCCTGGGGTGACACGGCATCGGGGGCTCAGGCTCAGGCTGGGTGCCAACACAGCAGCTCCCCACAGCCTCCTCTCTCAAGCCAGGGCCAGAACAATGCAGAGACTCATCAAAGCCCAGATTTCACCAGACACCTCTCCACCCTTGCACTAGAAGTCCTGCAGATTCAGAGATGCTGCTGCTCATCTTACTCTGATCCTGGCCCGAATCCCCACAAAACAGAATTCAGCAGGTTCAGTTCATCCCACTTTTGGGAGAGACCCAAATCTGAGCCCCATCCCTTCCCACCACTACTGTGGGTGAGTAGGACCTGGCTTCTCCTCCCCCAGAGTCAAGAGCCTGCGAAAGTACTGTTTGCAGAAAACCTGCAAAGCAGGTAATACAGGAATGAGGAAGAACAGAGAGGGCTGGGCAGGGGAAATCCCTTTCCTCCTATAAAGCCCAAGTCATCAATCAACCCACCCTGAGCACTTTTGGAGCAGCTGCAGGAGGTGGCACCAGACATTAAACATTAGCACAGCCATGACTCGATTTGGTTTTGCTGTGAATTAAGGGGCTGCCCAGCTGCCCTTGTGCCACAGCACAAACCCAGCGAGCTGCAGCCCAGGGTGAGAGCCAGGTTGGCTGCAGGACACCTGCACCCGCTGGGGTCTGCTCCACTTCAGACCCGCGGGCTGACAGCACCCAGCACTGCTTGCCCTGCCCTGGCTGCATGCTCCCCCCACAAGACCCCTCAGCAGTTCTGCAGACCAGGTGCAGTTATTCAGCACTCGTACAAGTGTTTCACTTGCTCTGTAAACTCATGAAGCAAAGAGATGAGGCTGACGCCCAGCTGACTCACCTGCTCCTGGGGAGACCGAGTTTCTACCTGCAGGTGCTCCTCCTTGCCCTGTCTTCCCCCCACCCTCACTTCATTCTTTTTAGGTCTTAAACCACCAAGGAAACAAGGCTGGAGCAGGTGAGTCATTTGCTCTCCCAGCCCTGCCACCAGCAAGAGCTCTACCGTATCATGCCTGCTCCAGCCATTTCCCAACCACCCTCTACTCGGCATCCAGCACATGGCAGGATGAGGCCCTTAAAGAATCAAACCATTACACTGCACCCTGAACAGGGTTGTCCCAGAGCCCGACCTGCTCCAGCACCTATGCAGACCCAGGTCAGCATCACTCCGACCAGCAAGCAGCACCGAACAGCAGCAGTGCTGGTCAAGGGGTTTCCTAGGGCTGCACCTGCCCTGATGCTCCCTGGCAGGAGACAAGCCGAGGCTGAATTATCAGTTTGCACAATGTGGAAGTGCCGCACATGCTTGCACGTTAGGTGGAAGCTATTGTGGGCAACAGCAAGCAGAAAGAGAGCTGAAGACAGCATCCCCTTCCAGCTGAAGCAGACAACCTCATTTCTTTGATGATTTATTTCACTGAGCAGCAGTCAAATGCTTTGCAGTGTGCCTGCCCGCCACGCTGTGCCCTCCGTAGGTCTCCGCAGCTGTATTTGCCCACGCTGCCTATTTGTAGGTTGACTTTCCAGGAAGCCAAACACTGCTATGAATTCATAGAAAATGGAGCAGTCCAAGACTTCATCTTCCTCTGACAGAAGAAGGGCACTAAACCTCATATTGTGCAACACAGATCTAACCTAGGTATGGGGTTGCATTCTGGTGTTCGTGTACAGGGGATCATCTGCACGAGGAAATACCACCCTGATGACACCCACATAACTTCATTGTGGAATTATGATTCCAGGGCAGCATCTGAGGGAGAGGAAGTGCTAGCAGAGTAACTCAGATCAGCAAATTTTCCCACACAGACAAGTGTTTTGTCATGATTAAATCTGCCCTCTGGATATTCCCATATATTCTGATGAACAATTCCACTGGGAATTCATCTCACCCCAAAATCTCTTTTCTCTGTGTACAATACCCATCAGAGTGCCCTTGCCACTTCAGAGAGACGAGGGATGCTGAGTAGGTAAGTCAACATGGTTAACATCTCTGTCAAGTATGTATGTGTTAGCTGCAGCACATTTTACTACTTTTAAAATTCCAAGTTCCCATTTCCAAACTCACACATCTGAAATTAAAATCCTCATAGCTAGACTCAGACACCAAGGCGGAATCCAGACCCAGCCTGGTCCCTGTCACCATGCGGCAGCCCAACATCTCAGTCAGCTGGGATGGCTTTAGTCTGTGTCACCTCTGCAGAGGGTCCTCCATCAGGTCTCCAGCAGGACAATGTGGGTGGCCATGACCTGAGATCCCTCCCAGAAGGGTGCCAGGAGATTTACATCATCTCTCGGTTTAAGGAGGAAGCTGCCAATCCCAAACGTAAGCAAAACAGAAGCCTGGATGCCAAGTAAAGACATCAAAGGAATCATGTTTATTTTTGAGAGTGAAATGGAGGTTCTTTTGCCTGCTGGTTTCCAAGTTTTTGAGAGGTGACAGGGGCAAACCATCAAGGCTAGGAATTTACTCTTTTCAAGCAAATAAACAAGATTGCCACCTGTTCAACTGCCTTTGGGAGGAGAGACCACCAAGTGAAACATGGTATTACTGTGTCTTAATGAAAGCTAGGACTACTGCAGTTAATATTAAATCTCTAAGGCTAGGTCCTGGGTGGACTATGGACTAGTGAGATAAGCAAGGATATGGCAGGCATCCTCAGCATGCAATAATGACACGTTAAATGTAACCACAACAACAAAAAAAAACCTAACACCCAAACCCCAAGCCAGAGTGTAATAATAGCACCAACAGACCCACAACTAGGAACAAATGCCTTAAGAGTCATTACATTTGACAAGGATGCTATTGGGAAAAGAATCCATAAAAAAAACCATGTCACAACAAAGAGACTTAGGGAAAGGTTTCCTGCATGACTTAATAGCTCTGAACATCTGCTGAGAACCTGCTTGACTTTGCCAATGTACAACTGCAGGCGTTTGCATGACTGCCAGCACTCAAAGACTCATAACAGGGGGAAATTAATTGCAAAGTGAGAGCAACACCAGAGTTTGCAGTAGAAGAAACAAA